TTGAGGCCAGCCTGGTCTATAGAGCGAGCTTCAAGACTACATAAAGAAACCCTGTCTCAAAATAAATAGATGGATAGATGGATGGACAGATAGACAGAAATAGAGATTTAGACGGACAGCTAGACAGAGATGACAGACAAAAGGACCACAGTGACTCAGATTTAATAACCACTTTTTGATGGCGCTCACTGCCAGCGTTCAGTTATTACACAGTGCCCCTTACCAACTGTTAGGTGGGCAGCAGCCGTTCCTGCCACGGTTTAAAGATGAGGAGATCCGCACCTCTCATAATCAACAATCAGCCCCTCCCCGCAGCTCTCCGTTTCCAAGCCCTGGCCTGCAACCACCACACTACCCTCTCACAGCACGCAGCGCAGCGGCTCTCAGAGTCCACACATGCCTGGCCCCAAACCACTTTTTCAGGGTTTGGATTTTGAATAATGTTTTGTTTGCTTGTTTAATCTTGAAAAACATGTCCTGTGCTTAATTAACATTATGAGTGAAGGTATTTTTCATGGAAATTCTTAGAGGAATTCCCCTCTAATTGGGAGGCACATGATAATGAAAATTTCAGACCTTTGAAGTAAGCCAGATCTGAGTTACCCAAACTTCTGAGCCCCACTTTCTAACCATTAAGGGGACTCAGCATGCTCTTGCCCCCATCAGGTATGTTGTTAGGTAAGACAACAGATCTGGAAACCGTCTCTGAACAAGCACTGCTCCATCAAACTCATTCTCCCTGCCCCCCTCCCATTCTTTACCACGTTCTTGGGGGCATCCAGACCTAGCCTCTTGCTCAACACTCAATGTGTTTATGCCTCCACTCCCCATGTTACATCCTAAATCCAGGAAACTTACCATGGTCCACTCCAGTCCTGTGGGGGAGGCAGATGTTAAGCAGATCAACAACTGGCAGGAGGGACGGAAACCAGGCTGGAGGCACTGGGGGAGTGGCAGCTGCCTAGCAAGGACAGAAGCAGGGGACAGACCACAGAGTCTTCTGATGCCTGCACCTTACTGAACACTTCCCAGAAGAGATACAGCCTCAGCAAGGGCCTTCACTTAGCAGCACCTACTACAGTCATGCTACAGACAGACAACAGGTGATACAGACTCAGATCAATTTTATCACACAGAGAATTCCCCCCCCCCACCCTCGTATGGCTGATTACACAAGAGAGGCCATCTTTATCAGTATTATCAAGTTCAAGTACATAGGCATTACAGGGGGAATCTTTTCTATGTACTTAAACCTGAATTATGAAAGCATCAGATCTCTACTGGGATGCCTGGGTAAGGCTTGTGAAGCATTCTCTTTCTGGTTGAACAGTGTGGTCAATGTATCTATCCTGCGAAATGACAGGCTCACTGTCAGAAAGACACAAGCACATCCCCCACCCCGTCCCTAGCAACTGGACAGGCGAACATTAAACAATGGAAGCCCAGCCTAGACACACTGAATCTGCTGACAACAATTTTACGTAACTCTACTTTCACCTTTATATTTGAAGTAAAATATTTTCTTTTGAATTAATAAAAGTGCCCTATACACGTTATCACAAAGTAATGTGATATTCAAATGCCATTATATATTTATCCCATGAACTATTCACTACTGACCAGGAAAAAACAGTGTTTTCTTAGATGAAATGGACAGATGAGTTTAAGTCCTGGTACCTTAGAAGATAATGATATCACCTTGTACAAGGTAGCCAGGGAGGGGATCATAAGCTATGTATATTATACTATACTATACTATGTTATATTATACTATACTATATTATGTTATATTATCTTTGTGTGTTTTGTTTTTGTTTTCCAGACAGAGTTTCTCTGTGTAGCTCTAGGTATCCTGGAACTTGCTCTGTACACCAGGTTAGCTTTGAACTCACAGAGGTCTGCCTGTGCTGGGATTAGAGGGGTGCATCACCATGCCTGGCCTTTTGCATTTGGAATTTTTGAATTCTGAATTTTGAATATTCAAGCTATTACTGATTGACTGGATTATAACAGAGCTGAGAGATGGCTCTTTGGCCAAGAATGCTTGTACTAATGGGCGAGAAGCAGTGGCCTGTAAATCTCAGAGTGCAGCTTAGACTCTTATAGAATTTTTTGTGACACTGAAAGTAATTTTTTTTTGTTTTGTTTTTTGTTTTTCGAGACAGAGTTTCTCTGTATAGCTCTGGCTGTCCTGGAACTCACTCTGTAGACCAGGCTGGCCTCGAACTCAGAAATCCGCCTGCTTCTGCCTCCCAAGTGCTGGGATTAAAGGCGCGCACCACCACTGCCCAGCTGAAAGTAATTTTTATTATCACCCTTGATAACAGTGAATACTGTCTGTAACAACATGTGGATTTACTGCCTGTGCAGGAAATCCTACAGCTTTTCTGCTGGGTGGTCAGTAGTAACAACACCCTGATCAAATTAGCAACAAGCACTCCTTGCTGCTCTGGGCTCCCTGGTCTGAGGTTTTTGATGGCTCCCACTGGTGTATCCTAAACATCATCTAGGTCCACTTGCCCCTGTGGTAATCAGAGTTGCACACTGTGTGGGCTCAATGTCTCCTGAAATTGCTCTGTGTCCCCTGGATTCCACTGCACATGCTTCATATTTTAAATTTATATGTGGGATATAAATCTAGAGTATGTGTTTAAGCATTTTCATATTTGATGGTAACATCAATTTCTAAACTTTGCCTTTTATAGATAATACATTTTAATTCCTTGTATAGATTCAGTCTGGAAGGTAGAGCTGTGGGACTCTGCTTGCTGGAGGGAGGGCTGTGTCTTCCATAACTAATGTCGCTGCACAGTCTGCCCTGTATTTATTGGCCTTTTACCCAGGGTCTGTTTTAATTGTTATCTGCTCGTGCATTCTATACCACATAATGAAACGCTTCCATTTCACCCACTGTGCCCTGGGGTTTTATGTGTATCTTTACTAATGACCCTTTATTAAGCCAATTTTACCCTTGAAAATGTGAGTTTTTCTTCTCTGGTCAACAAGTATTTTTAAGGGCGAAGTCTGAGTGAACTTTCAAAGGGGCCTCTAAAGTGCTTATTATTTTAAGCACTTGTAAAACTGAACAAAGTATGCTTGTCTTCTAGTATGGCCACCAACACCTACATTTCTCACTGTATACTTTCAGGACAGACTTTCACCCGGCAGCAGGCCATTAGTCCTCATTTAAGCTTCCTTTAGACGGATCAAACATCTGGGTAGAAAACAACACAATAAAGTCAGCTGGTATGACTTTACATTAGCTAACAATGTCAACCAGCAATAATATGGAATTGAAAAGACACCCTGTAAAATATCTTGCTGAACATATTTCTTCATAATGATCAGCAAATGCCAAAGTCTAGTAACAAAACTATTATTTATAGCATATTAACATCTAATTGATTTTACAAATGGAGGCAATTATTTTGGATGAAGGGAGGACTGTCTGCCACATTTAAATGATTTATGATTACCAAGACAGAAAACAACAATGCTTCACTAATTCGTTTTCAACTGTGCCTCTTTCACTCATTGATAATTTTAATTTTAACCAAATGATTTGTTTAAATAATACATTAACTTCAAGTTTTTTAAAAAGGCAACTTACTTTGAGTCCGCAATCTGACAGGGTTTGGTGTTTAATGTTCAAAAATGTTGCTTCCTCCAGTGGGCTTAGAAAAGACCTTACCCTAGGAACATGTAGTGACGTGTGGACTTGGAACCACAGAAAGATCACACTTTCATGGACTCCACCCAATTACTCCGAGCAGGAGCTGCAGCTCCCACAGAGCGACCGTCACGTGTGTGAAGTCCAAGAGAACACTGCAGAGGCCTCCGTCTCCAGCCTCTTGACCTAAAACATTGACTGTCTGCTTGAAAGGTTTCATAATGTGTACAAATGTTGCAAAAGAAAAATTAAACAGCGTGAGTCACTCACTACGATGCTTTTGCAATCCAGGACTAGGATGTACATGTTTGAAAAGGAAGGGAGGAAAAACGGTGCGTTCCTTCCCATTTCAAGGCAACTATAAAGCAGAGGAGAAACTCATATTTCACAAAAATAACCTGTGCATTTGTTGAAGGAAAAACACATACACACATTGAGGGATTGCCCCAGGCTGATGCAGATACTGATTGGGCAAAGCTGAAGGACAAGGGCTCTTGAAACTAAACAAAAGCAAATTCATCCTGTTGACAGATGTTGCTTACATCAAAGTACTGAGGAACTCTCTGGACTCCCAATTTTTAAAAACAATTAGTACCCTTACTACAATCCACACATTGAAGACAAAGTTAATTTTTTTAATCAGTCATAATAAACATTATTAAATCTGTTCTCAGAGCGTTTCAGTTCAGTTAGGAACTGTTTTAGTGTGTTTTTAGCTCAGGGCTTTGCCAAACAGTGGTTTATTCATTCCCATGGACATGTCTGGGAAGGCGAGCTGGGCATGCCATCAGCCCCTTCCTTCCAGGGGTTAACTGCTCTGGCTGCCAAATAAAATACAGAGCAAGCCATGTAATTATGGAGACAGTCAAAGGGCAGGCTCTATTTTGAAATCTATTTGCACAGACAAGGTCTTCCAATTGAACTTACAGGAAACAAGCTGGTAAAGAGCCCCCTTTCCCCCAGATGCCGTCCACACTTTTTCTCCATTTCAGGAAGTCATGGATATGGACACCATCCACCACCGCTTCCTGGATCTCAAGCTAAGATGCCCTTGTGGAGAGAAGAGCAGTTCTGTTTCACAAACCTAGAAGGATCATTGGGGGTGGGGGACTAATTAACAGCATTTGGAAACGGCCTCTAAATGGTAAAGCTACGGTGTTTTTAAACATTTCTAAAGAGGACACAGGCCCAGTTGGTATGCAGGTGTCGGGAAACAGCTCATTTTCCTCAATGTCCAAAAGAATCCACATAGTTGAGTGTAACAGAGACTGCTGCAAGTACTTGTCAGAAATAAAGATTCTACCGACATCCCACAGGACCGTCCTTGCAGTTATTTATAGCTAAAAGCATGACTACAGTCATGAAGATCCCACAGGATGGAAAAGAAATATGTCAAATACGAGTGACAGAATTGGGAAGACCCACTTTTGTCAAGTGGTAAAAGCGTCCATCTTGGTTGCTTATACTCTAAGGCGACCATGTCTGTGAGGATGGGCTGTCTGATACTAAATAGGGTTGGCTGCTATTGCTGATAAAAATAAGTGGCCTGATGAAGGCGAGACAGGCAATAGTCTGTGGATGTCAGAGCCCTCACTCAGGCCTGGGAGCCCTGGTTCTGGAGAAGACAAACTGAAAAGTCAGCCACACTTAGAACATTTCTGAGGAAAGGCTGGCTGGTGGCCTGAGGCGCCCAAGTTCATAATGATGGTCAAGAATGGTTCCCAGGTCAAAGCAACAGGACTCTGCAAGGCTCCCTCAGGAAGTTAGTTCTATGTGACACCCTGCCTCCTTTTAAAAACTGTATTAGCAGCAACTGGCATAGCATAACACCACCAACCAGCTCAGAAACAGCTCAGGAAAAAGCTTCAATTTGCTTCCTTAGAAAAATCAAATTTAGGAGCCAAACGGTGGTGGCGCACGCCTTTGATCCCAGCACTTGGGAGGCAGAGTCAGGCAGATTTCTGAGTTCGAGGCCAGCCTGGTCTACAGAGTGAGTTCCAGGACAGCCAGGGCTACACAGAGAAACCCTGTCTCGAAAAAAACAAAAAAAAAGAAAAGAAAAAAGAAAAGAAAAGAAAAATCAAATTTGAGGATGGAGAGATCACTTAGTGGTTAAGAGCACTGGCTGCTCTTCCTGAGGACCTGGGTTCAATTCCCAGCAACCACATGGTGATTCTCAGCTGTCTGTTGCTCCAGTCTCAGGCTATCTGACACCTTCTTCTGTCTTCCCTGTACATCAGGTACTTACATGGTACACAGACAGACAAGCAAACAAAATACCATAAGCATAACAAAATCAATTTGATAATGGGATTATTCACTAGTAGCTACCACCAGGACCTAAGGATCTATACTTCAACAGCAAGCACCTTCTTACTCTGGGGAAACAGACACACCCTCCACCTAGACTACAAATACAGATCAATAAACACTTGCACATTCTAATGGAGACTCATGTTGGTGGGCCTGTGGGGGGTGTGTGTGTGTGTGTGTGTGTGTGTGTGTGTGTGTGTCTGTCTGTCTTTTAGGCTAGCTTAACCACAGCTGAGGGAAAGATGACAAAGATTTTGGCAAAAACTACATGTCCATCATTTGGCAGATCAGGGAAAGTTACTTAGATATGATCCATTTCTATAGAGAAATACGACTACTGCATGCAGTGAAAAGATAAAAAATATTTACTTCAAGTTGAAATCTCAGTTCATCTTATATAGACTACAGATTAGAAAATACCGAGCCACAAGGAAATAGTGTATGCTGAGCAAAGCCACTGTCTCTCAGCTGAAGTTTAGAGAAAAGAAGCTTTTTCGCAGTTTAACAATACATACACTCAGGCCACTTCTTGGACAAAGAAATACTGTACCCTTCTAAGGAGAAATAAAGGGGCTGTTTATTAGAGCCTTGTTAAAATGTAATAATTCATTCCAGTTGAGCCCTGTGAAAAATGTCATCAAAATATCATTTTCTTTGCCAGATTTTCTGGATGCCATAGTATCATTTAAATACAGCTTAAAAAAAAAAAAAAGAGCTCTGACCAGAGTGGAAAAAGGAACCAAAGCAGGAGCGCTGTCAAGGCAGCAGCGGGAGAATCTCACCCAGGCCTGGGACTCAGGGAGCGCACACTCCTGAGCCAGCAAGAACATCTGGCAGCTTTCAACTCTCGATGGTCCAAAGAACATTCCTGTTACCTCACACACCTCGGCTCAAGAAGAGGGTGATAGAACAATTTTATACTGAAGCACACAAATAGGGACCAGAAAGGGCAATTTCACAGAAATCACACATGGAATTCAATTTTAGAGAATGGCCATACAAAACATCATGCGTGTAAAAAAAAATGAGATAGTAAGAAAGTCCTTTAATTTTTTTTAAAAAAAAAGACTATTCATAAATACAGCTGTCATGTAAAATACTACTTAAAGTGCTAGTCATTTTGGGTTAAAATACCTAATAACAGGAGATGTGGAGACTTCCAGCAAAGGTACAGCTTTGATAAGAATATTTTAAAATTGTATTAAAGTATTTGATGAGAACATAATTTTAGTTTTTCATTTATAGCAATGTCAACTGCATTCTCTTTTTGGATTCTCTCCTTTGTTCCTTCCTTCTTGATACACTATGTAAAGTTATTATTGCACAAGCAAATAATTGTTCTAAAACAGCTTGGACCTATAGCAATATCAGCACACACAAAAATCCACCCCCAAAGTCCCCATCTGAATTCATGCTTAATGTCATCTTCACTATCCAATGCCAAATGAAAGAAAACATTGGAATGGAAATCTTTGACAGTCTTGGGAATTGTCTTTGCTGCATTGCATGGCAGTAGGGGTGGCGGGAAGGGGTGCCAATAATCACAACCCAAAATGGAAAAGCCAAAGCCTGAGGAAAACATATCCAAGACTTCCATGGCTGAGACTACAAACTCAAGACAACACAATTCAAGATCACGAATCAGGGAGCTAACTTCAACAACAAACAAACAAACAAAAACAAAGGGAAATTACATAAAAGCCTTCTTCAGTACAAGGAACAATATGCATTTTTTTTCTCAAGATGACTTTGAATTTGGTATAGCTACATTGCCACACATAATTTTTATCTTCCACTCAACTGGGTAGACTCAGTTGACCATATGAATAGAGATACATTTGACAGTTTTATGCACTAATATAAAAACATTCATTGTAGTCTGCTTCCAACCTACTATTGCTGCTGCTGCCGACACTGCCTCCTCTTCCTCCTTCTCTTCTTCCTCCTTCTTCCTCCTCTTCTTCTTTCTTCTTCCTCTTTTTCTTTTAAAAGATGTTTTAAAGCAATGTCGATTTTGTTTTAAAATCTAAAAATTAAAACCAATAAAATGTATACTCCTTATTTGTATGTGGCTGGGTTCTACTCACATCTGGAAACAGCACTTGAGAACCTCTGATGGAAAGATTGGAGACAGTGCTCACATTTAGTGGAATGATAAATTCATCATGTCTTTTTTTAGATTAATGTTTTTAATATCCTCAGAGAACTGAAATATCTGATGTGTAAAATATCTGAAAAATATTTACTGTCTAATATTATATGTACTGAACATTTTTTGAGGTTTAATTCTATTAGAATGTCATAAAAGGAAAACCAACTCCCAGCATAACAGACAATTTGTGGCTCAAAAGAGGGAAATAATGTAGAAATTAAAATGTGTTATGTTTTACTGTAAATGTGTCTTGGGGTGGTCTTCTAAAAGAAGTGTCTTTCTAATTTTATATGAGTTCTCTTTTGCTTTTTTCTTAAAGATTCATTTACTTATTTTATGTATATGAGTACACTATAGCTGTTGAATCCCATTACAGATGGTCATGAGCCACCATGTGGTTACTGGGAATTGAACTCAGAACTTTTGGAAGAACAGTCAGTGCTCTTAACTGCTGAGCCATCTCTCCAGCTCTCTTTCTCTTTTTTAATGGAGCACCTCACAATTTTCTGTGTCACCCTTGTACAAAGGTCACACTAACCTCTGTTCGTTCCGATTTTACTGTTTGCAGCTTAAGTGAGCACTACGCTTGGATTCTTGTTGAAACTAACTCCTTCCCCCTGAGTACTCATCGGTTTACTTGAACAAGCTAAATTCCTTAACCCCTTATTTCCTTGTTT